AATCTATCCAGGCTCGTGAAATCGCAATTGAGCAAAAAAGAGCACAAGAAATATATCTGCGATCGGTACGTATATATTTAATAAAATACATTGTAGAAATAATTCAACAAAAATTAAAAAAATATTTCTTTTATAGATATTTGCACTACTTTGGATCAGATGACAAGTTGCAGTCACATACGGTGGATTGTCGAGAAATGAACGGGTGCGTTATTCGATTACCGAGCGATAAGGACAAGTGGCTCACGTTTAACAACTATAATCGGAAATAGTGGCTTTTGTCGTATACGCCAACTTGGAGTGCGTTTTGGAGAAGACGGAGGAAGAAAGAAATTACCAACATCATAAAGTATTTAGTACTGCATATTATGTACAATGCTCGTACGACGATTCGTTATCCGCGTATCATTCTCGTCGCAGTACCGATTGCATGTCATGGTTCGTCGAAGAACTAAAAAATTTAGCGCAACGTGTAAAAAATATTTTATCAGCTAATGTCCCCATTGTAAATTTAACACCTGATGAATGGGAAAAATTTCATAGCGCGACACAATGCCATATATGCGAGAAACCATTCGTACAAGACGATACACGCGTACGCGATCATTGCCATACAAGACGATCGCGTACGCGATCATTGCCATCTGACCGGGCGGTACAGAGGTCCCGCGCATTCAAATTGTAATTTAAATTATAAAGATTCTTTTTGCATTCCCATAATTCTTCATAATTTATCCGGTCACGACGCGCATTTTATTATCAAGGAAATAGCTACAGCGTTCGAAGGGGAAATTGTTATTAACACGGAAGGGTGTCTTTCCGTACGAATAAATTGACTGCGCCGACAGGTTGCAAGATACGTGTTTACCACTGCGTGATTCATTTTACAGATCCTTGACCGGTGACACAATATCCGAGAGCGATTACGCGCACGCCGAGAACGTCTGGAAGCGGTTCTCCATTCAAACGCTGGGCGAATATAGCGAGTTGTATCTCAAAATTGATGTCTTGTTATTAGCAGATATTTTTGAAAATTTTCGCGAAAAATGTATTAAAAGTTATGGGCTCGACCACGCGTATTACTATACTCTTCCCGGATACACATGGAACGCCATGTTGAAGCATACGAATATTACATTCCAATTGCTTACGGATATCGACATGGTTTTATTTATCGAACGCGGAATACGCGGTGGTTTGAGTCAATGTTCCAACAGATACGCACATGCTAATAACAAGTATATGCAATCGTACGATCCATCGAAACCTTCAACGTATCTCACGTACTTTGATGTAAAAAATTTGTCGTGTCCAATTGAACGGTGCGCAAATGAAATGTGTCCTAACGAACTGTGCGCAAGTGAAATGTGTCCTATCGAACGGTGCGCAATTTTATGTGTCTAATATCACAGTATGCAAATGCAACGTGTCCAATTGTACTGTGCGCAAGTGAGCCTCTTCCCATTACCGCAACCTGCAGCAATGCACGCGACACGGACTTCGCGTTACAAAAATACATCGAATATTACAGTTTTCGCAGCACGAGATGTACGGGATTAGCAACGTAATGTAACTTGTATTCGTAAAATCCGGCGGCGACGGGATTTCCGCGCAAATCTTAAGGGAAAATAGGTCACGGGATTAGTTTTCTGTACTTTAACAATTTTAAACACTTCGGTCGTCCAATTTGGCGTGTAACCTTTGTCAAAGATGGTCTTGAATTTACTCACGCGTACCGGATCGCCTACTTTGAATCTTGCTGGTGCAGCAATCTTTACGTTGCTGTATACCGTATTTAAAAGTTTATCGGCGATCGCGGGGGTAACATCGATAGGTCTCATACCGATAGTGCGATGTTTTCGTGCATTGTACACTCCAACGAGCCGGGACAACGCGTCGATCCACTTGTAATTTCCATTAAGCGTAAACATTTTCCACATATTGTTCTTTAACGTTCGGTTGGTGGTAGAAACATCTATGTGGAGCATGTGTCTGGCGTGCGCCAGTACGCCGCCCCCTCTCGCCCCTCGGCTGATGGGGTGCTCGCGACGCCCCCTCGCGCGATTTGCCAGCGTTGGTCCACCAATGCGTAGGTGTGGCACTTCCATAGCGGCTTTTATATATTGTATTTTCGTTTTCGTCTCGAGTATGTATGTCGCGTAAATTATTGCGTGCAATGTCTTGCCCACATATATTTATTTATTTACTCGCAGCGGCGAGAGAGCAGGGGACTAATCCCTTTGCTCTGCTTTATTGTATTACCCGTTTTTATTTTTATATTTTATTGCATGTTGTGTGGGCCTGTTTGTTTCGAGTGTGTATGTCGCGTATTTATAATATTGTATTTTATGCGAGTATGAGTCCGTCGCGAATTACATAATTATTTTTTATATATATTTATGCCGAGTGCGCGCCCCCGGGTCTTTTTATCCATGACCTTCTATCTGTGATCGGCCCGGGGGTGATCAGCTGTGATCTCGATATACATTGCCCCGGTCAGCCAGCCGGAGCAATTTATTTATCACCGTTTTAACCCGTTACTTGGGGGAGGCTAGTGCTCCCCCAGCGCGTTAATTTTAAGGCCCACTGGCGGGAGGGGCTATTGTTTCCCGCCCATAGTTTTAATTTAAATTTTGCGCGCGGCCAATTGCCGCATTTAATTGCATATGCACCCCGGAGAGGTACTGTCTCTCCGGGGAACATTAATTCAAAATAAACGGCAATTTATCTGTTCTTATCAGCTTAATATCTGATATGTCGTAACCCGACCGATTTCTTAATATTAAAAGATGAAACAAGTAAAGTAGAACAGAAAAGATTGAGAAAGAGCTGACTAAAGTAAAGCATTAGAATCAGGGAAAGAGCTACGTTGAGCAATATCTTATCGTATAAAATAATATCTCTAAAATACTATATATCTATTAATTCTTGTATAGCCTTTTCGGGCTATAACATCATGTACAGTTAGAGACATACACAAACAATTATAATATTCGACACATACACACGAATACAACAATATGGACAGCGCTGAGTAATGCAAACTCATGGTTATACTCTACACGAGCAAACCAACCGATCGAAATAACGTGCGAAAACGACGCAACGCGAAAACTAGAAATAAAAAGAAGCGGACAAATCACATTAAAGGAGAAATGTAAATTAACGACGCAAAACGTCATAATACGAACAAAAAAGCCCGCGATAATAACAATCGTACAGACAAATCTGCCAGATTACAATCTTACGATGATAGATGACAAACGAAACGAAAAAATACTGGACAAAATTAGACCGATAAATCGTTCAGCCTACTTAGATGCCCGCGTGGGTAAACAAATTGAAGAAAAACGCGATAATTAAATTACCGGCCTCGCACGGACTCGACACCGTAGGCACCCTTGACGAGCTCCGCCGACAGCTCCGTCATTTTGTTATCGATAACCCAACTCTTTTCGCGTCCCACCCCACGACTTCCGAAGACACGAAGATGCCACTAACAAACGAAGGCCCGACCGCCGGCACAACCGGAGCCACCACCGTCGATCCAGCTAAGGCCATGAATCAAATACGGAAGTGGGGGTGCCACTTCGACGGGAAGGACCCGTTGGCGTTCTTGGAACGCATCGACGAGCTGAAACGAGGATACAGCTACAACGACGAGCAGTTGCTCCCGAACTCCTTCGCGGCGAACCACTGATGTGGTACCGCAACTGCCGCAATAACTGGACCCTGTGGGCTGAGTTTTGTCGGGACTTCCGCGCCCAGTATCTGCCCAGTGAGTACTCATACCAACTAAGGAGTACGATCCAAGGGCGGAAGCAGTTCAAGGGCCAACCGATCGGGTACAACATCACATCCGATTAAAGCCTGTACCTGCCATCAAACAACGATATCGCCCACGTAATCCGGCGATGCAGGCCATCATTGACCAGGAAGTAGCTAGATAAGCTGCGTGGGGCTAAGTACTTGAGAAAGCTCGACTTAAAAAGCGGATATTGGCAGGTGCCACTCACACCGCAGAGCCGGCCGGCGACCGCATTTACGGTGCCCGGCCGCGGCCTAATGCAATTCAGGGTGATGCCCTTTGGCCTGCACTCGGCGCCCGCTACCTTCCAGAGATTGCTCGACTCGATACTCGGCCCAGAACTCAAACCGCACGTCCTGGTATACCTCGACGATATTATTATCGCTAGCCGCACATTCGAGGATCACCTACGGCATCTGTCCGAGGTCTTTCGCCGCCTGCGCCAGGCACGGCTCCGTCTCAATCCGGATAAGTGTCACTTCTGCCGGACGAGCCTCCGCTACCTCGGGCACGTTATCGACCGCCGGGGTATCCGCACCGACCCCGATAAAGTGAGCGCCGTCGCGAACTGGCCAGCACCGACCACCGTGAAGAAGGTACGCCAGTTTCTGGGAGTGGCCTCGTGGTACAGGCGCTTCATCGCCGACTTTTCGACCCTCGCCGCACCTCTCACCAGGCTGACTCATAAGAAGGTCAAATGGACCTGGACGGACCACGAGGAGGCCGCTTTCCGAGGGCTAAAGAAAGCCCTGACCACCGCACCGGTCCTGGCTTGTCCAGACTTTGCGCGGCCATTTGTCCTCCAAACCGACGCCAGTGCACACGGTCTGGGGGCCGTATTAACCCAACACCTTGAGGAGGGAGAGCGAGTCATCGCCTACGCCAGCCGAACCCTCAACGCCGCGGAGCGTAATTACAGCGCTACCGAATTAGAGTGGAGACCATCGCTCACATCGCGCCAATGTACTATTGGCCAGGCATGTTCCGAGACATTACCCGATATGTCCGGAAGTGCCCGACGTGCATAGCACACAAGGCCTCGCAACAGCGACCGGCCGGGACTCTACGCGCGACCGCTTGTACCGCCCCCTGGCAGCAGGCCGCCGTCGACTTAGTCGGGCCACTACCCCGATCCACGAAGGGGCATACGTGGCTGCTGACCATCCAAGACCGCTTCAGCAAATGGCTAGAGATGGTTCCATTACGCCGGGCCACCGCTGAGAATCTGACACATGCCGTGACTCAACATCTCATATATCGGCATGGGTGCCCAACAACGCTGGTTTCCGATAATGGGACCCAGTTTCCGTCTCAGAGATTCAAGACGCTCCTTGCCGCCTTCGGGATCGCGCACCGCAAATCGCCCGTCTATGCGCCTCAATGCAACCCGGTTGAGCGGGCCAACCGCACGGTGAAAACAATGATCGCCCAGTATGTGGGGAAGCAGCACCGAAACTGGGATGAACGGATAGTCGCGCTACAATTCGCGATCAACACCGCGAGACACGAGGCCACCGGATACACCCCGGCGTACATCATACACGGGCGCGAATTGGCACGACCCCACCCGGAGGACCGGAGACCGCCGGCCCCTGCTCCAAGTCCGGACGTCAACCGGAAACGGCTCGAAGAGGCCTTCGAGGTGGTCCGTATCCACCTGGCTCGCGCGTTCCAACGACAGGAACGCCATTATAATCTGCGGCGGCGCGACTGGCGCCCGCAGATAGGCGAGCAGGTCTGGAAGAGAGATCGGCCCCTCTCCAGTAAGAGCGGCGCATTCAACGCTAAGCTAGCGCCCCGATACATCGGACCCCTGGAAGTCCGAAAGATCGTGTCACCGGTCATGGTGGACCTCCGCGATGCCCGAGGGAAGTGGCACCGGCACATTCATGTGCAAGACCTGAAGTAATAATCTAATTAAAACATAATTTCATTGGATTATTGGGTATTAATCCGCGGCGGATAATCCGCTTGCACTCAGGTTATCTGACAATCCGCGCGGTAATCTGGATCCTTGGGGTGTCCACGCGCATAACCTCTCTTCCGCGCGTGGGCTTCTATCCATTCTTTTAGTGTTTTGACTTGGCTTAGAGAAGTATTCTATTTATTGAGTATTTTTATATTCCGCGTGTGAGTGTCCGCGATATTGTTAATATTTGCCGGGAAGCGAAAATCTCCGCGTGCGAGCGTATAGTGAAGTGCCGCGACGCGTGTGCTCCGCGAGTTTGGTTAGGGTGCCCTCGATCTGGGGCTCTGCGCCACGGTGACCTGCAGTGGTGTGGTGAGTGTGCGGTGCGCGGGTGTGGTGCGTGTGTGCGGTGTGTCTCGGTGTGGCGGTACGTCGTCACACCTGTTGCTGTTACCGCGTGCCGCCATCCCGTGACACGCTGCCGCGGGTGACCTGCATATATCGTGTGTATGTTAGCCCGCCACGTGCCGCCCTCGGGCTCCGCGCGCGGGGTTCCACACGCACTGCGCGTCCATATTTTATTTATTGTTATTATTTATTATTTATTCTTATAGTTATGGCGCAGGGTCCCATCGAAGTTGTGCTCGCGTATCTCCTAGAGGAGCGGGTGCGTTGCGCACGGTGCTGGGGGAGCGCGGACAGAAATGTTAGGTCGAGGGGTGATTTCTGCGACACGCAGTATTTAGCCAGACACTTGCGAAAATTTCATCTGGGGGACACTATCGCATACGTGTGCTCCATATGCAATTTTAGGGGGACAGGCGCGGTCCCCTATAGAAGAGTTAAAGAACATTTTGAGAAAGAGCACGTCCTCCGGACAGAGGCGTGTTGCAGCACCCGCGGAGCACAAAAAACAATAAGTAATAGTGGTGGGCTTTCAGGTGTGCGGACCCGGGCCTCTGCAGCCGCCCCATCTGCATCGGCGGCAGCTGGAGCATCGTCGCGAAGCAGTACATCCTCGCGGCAACCCACGTCACACTCCACGGCCACGACGTCCACCATCACACCACCTGCAACAATACCATCCGCAGGAGCCTCCACAACACCCGGAGCAGCAGGAGAGTCCCCCTCATACGCGGCCGTCACAGCAGCGGGGCCAGCGACACGTCCACCATCTTCGTCGCTGGCCACAACATCAACACAGGCGGCCATCTTGAGACCGGCCGCCATGACGGCCGCCATATTAGGCGCCGCCCGATGGACGTCGGCCGCCGCTATGGCGCATCCACAGGGAAATGGCGGATCCCCGACCCAAAATGGCGCGGCCGATAGGAGAGGCCCTATCGTCTAATGATGCATCCAGAGAAGCACGCAAAAGCCTTCGCAGACCATCCAGCGGGAGCGAAACATCGACCAGGAGGATCGCAGGGCCCCCGCCAACCACCACCAGCCAGGCGGGGTCCAATAATTACCGGAATTTGCGGCGATCCACGAGCGTGCCTCTCGTGAAGAGCGGCGCGTCTAGGCCGGCACGTGCGCCTCCCAGGAGGTCTCCGGCCGCCGAATCACCATCCTTCGGCGGTCTGGGGGGGCGAGGAGGAAGACGCCCGAGAGGACCCTCCCGACGACATTCTGTGGAGGTTCTGCCACCAGGAGCCGAAATCGGGCGTCAAGCGTGCCGGTCGAGAAGTGCGCAACAAAGACGGATCCCTTGGCCCGGACATCGGCCAGGGGTGTACCGCGGGGGCCCCCAACATCAGGGAGGACCATCCATGGGGCCCAGCCGGTGACGACATCCCCAGCCGGCACCGCGGTACGCAACTTAAGTGCCGCGCTGACGCCGCAGGCTTCTGGGGGGCGAGGGGTTCGGCAAGGACGCCAATCCCGCAACGTGGGACCTCGCCCTCCCAGGTGACTCCCGCCACGCCACCTTCCATCTGCGGCGTGTGTGCGGGAGTCATAAACTTAACAACACCACCATCGTTGCCTGCGGCGTCCGGATCCGCCATGTTGACCACTCAAACAGTGACAACGACGACTTGCGGATCCCTCGTGATGTCCACGGGGTATTCCGCGAGGAGGGTCACACCATCACGACCCTCCCCCCTCCCTCCCATCCCGGAGGTGTCACCGCGCGAGGTGGTCCACAGGATGCGCCTCGAAACAACACCACCCACAACATCCGGGCAGGAGGAGCGGCGGCAACCTGGAGCGGCGCTGCCTTCACCACCATCGGAGGACGAGGGGGACTCAGGTGGGCCGTGGAAGAGGCACGTGGGCAGAAGAGCGAGGAGACGGTGGAGCGGCAGCTCCAGCGAAGGTGACAGTCCGGCGCCGGTGGGGCTGCGGCGGACGCCCGGTCATCCGCCACGAACGCCGGCGAATTTAACATCCTCTTCGCATATAATACCATGTCCGGTCGTCCTCGAGTGGACATTGGTCCGCACAATTCGAAGGGCCGCTGCGGACATCCCACCTCCGAGGACCAGCGTGGAGGGAGCACCGGGAGAGCGTGCTGAAGCCAGCATCGCGGGACATCCGAATGCCCAGGTAGATGTCCGTGGGATGATGGGTCGTCGACGGGGCGCGCCCGTACCCGGCGGCACGGAGCGAACGGTGAGGCACCGCCGATCTCTAGAGGCGGGGGCGGTGAGCACCCCCGTGTCCCGCGGCGTGCTAACATCCCGCCCAGCTTGTCGTCCGGTGGCCAACCGACCCCTGCTGTGCTGTCGCAAGGCAGCACAGGCGGCAACGAGTGGCTGCTCGTGACGCGCTGGTCGGGCATGCGTAAGCCATCGCCTCGATTGCAGACCTGGAGGAGTTGGCGGCTGCTGTCGCCAACTTCTTCGGGGAGGATGCAGCGAGAGCGGTCGGCGGGGATGCTCCCCGCGCCCGTGACCGCCCAGATCGGTCGCGTGGGGCGCGAGCGTGTCGGGGTGAAGGGAGAGTGCCAGCGCGAGACGGCGATAGGAGACGGCCGGCACCGGCCGGTCCTTAGCAGTCGGGAGAAGGACGCGGGGGCTGGATGCGCGAAGCTACGCGTCTTCAGGCTCTGAACAGGGCGAACCGTCGCAAGGCTGTCCGAGAAGTGCTAAAGGGGCCAACTGAATCGTGCCAAGTACCGAAACAGAAGGTTCAGGCGTACTTCGAAAGGCTATACTGCGGCGGGGAACACCTGGACGAACCGGGCGCAGAGGTGAAGCGTGCTGACCCCTTGGCCGCTGCGGAGGAATCTGCACTCTGGGATTCCTTCACGGAGCTGGAGGTGGACCGTCGGCTCCGGCGTATGACGAACTCTGCGCCGGGTCCCGACGGTGTCACCGCGATCTTCGTGGGGCGGATCCGGGAGTGCGGCTCCTCACCGCGATGTTTAACGCGTGTTTTCGGCTCGAGGCAGTCCCAGCGTCCTGGAAGACCTCCAACACCGTATTGGTGTATAAGAAAGGTGACCGGGAAGTATTAGACAACTGGCGTCCTCTCGCGCTGGGGGACACTGCCCCCAAGCTTTTCGCGGCGCTCGTTGCCGATCGTCTGACCGATTGGGCGGTCAATAACAACAAGCTCAGTCCGGCTCAGAAGGGATTCCTGCGAGACGAAGGTTGCTTTGAGCACAATTTTGTCTTGCAGGAGATCCTGACTGATGCGCGGAGGACTAGGCGGCAGGCGGTCGTCGCGTGGCTGGACCTTTCCAATGCGTTTGGCTCGGTCCCGCACGCGGTGATCCGCCGCGCTCTCGTTCGCTCCGGGGTGCCGGGGGGCATCGTTCGTACATGGCAGTCCATGTATGAGGGATGCACCACGCGGGTGCGCGCCGCCGACGGATTCACCGCTCCCATCCCTGTTCGCTCGAGGGTACGACAAGGTTGTCCGCTGAGTCCGATAGTATTTGACCTCGTTATCGACTCGGTACTGCGTGCAGTGTCCGACGTCGATGCGAGGTTTGATCTGTTGGGCTCGCGCTTTAGTATTTTAGCGTATGTGGACGATATTGCACTCGTTGCCGATACGCCTCAGGGAATGCAGCGGCTTCTTACTGCTGCAGAGGACGGAGCATCGTCGGTGGCACTGCGGTTCAACCCTGCTAAATGTGCCACACTGCACATTGGTGCGGGAGCAGGCGGCAGGATCCTACCGACGACCTTCGAAATCCAGGGACAGCCCGTTCATCCCCTGGCAAACGGTGAGCCGTATCACCACCTTGGTATCCCGACGGGTTGCTCGGTCGACTAAACTCCATTTGCCGCCATCGGGGTCCTCCTCGAAGATCTTCGCGCGGTTGACCGATCCCTCCATGCTCCGTGGCAAAAACTGGAGGTAGTGGCCACCAACATCTTGCCACAAATGCGAAAAATGTAGACAATTTCGCTTATCAGTGATCTCATTTACTATGGAATTTCGCAATTTCATTTATCGCGAAATATCGGAATTGCACATCTGTCACGTAGAAATATAATTTTCTCTGGCAAAAAGAATATGTAAAAAAATGTCCAATCGGAAATAGTGTAAATTGGCTTCATTCGAGCGAGTATTTCTCACAAATAAAGTTCCTCGCTTTCACACAAATTGGAGGTAAGTACCGTAAAAAGTCCATACTAATTGCGAAATGCTCTAGTCTTTAATCATTTTGTAAAATAAGTCTATGAGATTTTCTTTTAACTAATTTCTGCTGCGCGGAGCCACAGTGGAGAAGCGTACATTAAAGGCGGCGGACTTAGAGATCCGCCGCAAAGCCAAGGCCTGGCTCAACCTCCCGCAGAGAGCCAGCGCGGAGATGGTCTACCTCTCCCCGAAACATGGGGGTTGTGGACTACTTCCGCTAGCTGACTTCACGGACGTCCTGTCCGTCGCGCACGTCTTCCGTATGCTTACGGCTGGCGACGACACGGTCAGGGCGCTCGCGTGGGCGTTTCTGCCGGGAGTTGTGGCCAGGCGGATTGGCCGTCCTCCGACCAACGAGGACGTGGCGGCCTTCCTCTCCGGTTCGCAGAAGGGGAGGTTGCGCGATGGGGGAGAGCGCTCCCTGTGGTCGACGGCTCGGAATGCCGCGCGGAGGCAATCCAAAAGGTTGTCCTTTCGGTGGGAATGGTGTGAGGCGACCGGAAAGCTCATTGTCGGGTGCCGACGTCCCGGAGGTGACACGGTCAAGGTGCCACCTGGTGCTCGTAACCAGGTGGTTACTCGTCTGCGCTCAGCGGTGGCGGCATTTTACGCGGGTACGCTGTTGCGTAAGCCTGACCAGGGGAAGGTGTTCAAAGTGTCGTCGCGGGCGGGTGTGAGCAATCACTATGTTCGCGGCGGCAGCTTCACTCGCTTCGCCGACTGGCGTTTTATCCATTGTGCCAGATTGGACGTCCTCCCTCTCAACGGTGCACGCCGTAGATTAATGCTGTGTTTCTTCACGAGTTTCTGTATATTTGCGTTGTAAAATTCTTTTCTTCTATCGGTTTGTAAATTTTTCGAGCATTTTCCTACGTCTCGAATTATCTTTGCCATCGTTTCCGACATCTCGTTTCCACTCTTACTCATGAGCGGTACAGCCCACGCATATTTGCTCAACACATCGATAACTGTGAGTATATAGTTGTAGCCTTTATTGAATCGTGCATATGGACGCATCTCGACCACGTCCGCCTGCCACAGATCGTCGTATCCGCGTACTATGAGACGTCTACGTGGGAAATTTTTTCTCGCTGGAGCATGCAATTCTTCCACGAGCAGCTGTTTTTTAGAGGTCTTTCGCGGCATATTTGATCGACGCATAATTCGTAATAATGAGATAATTCTTCCACGTATATTCTTTATATATCTTTCTTCTCCTGCGCTGAAGTAGTCTGCGCGTGAGTTGCATACCGAAGCATTTTCTATATCTCATCCATCATTATTTGTAGCGTCTGCATATTCGTCTCGAGCGTGATTATTTTTTTCTCAAATTCTTCCTGTCTGCCTTCCAAAAGCTTGACACTTATTTTCACGTTCTGTTTGTTTGCGGCATCAGTATCATCTTCCGGTTACGCTACGCGTCGTATCTTGCGCGACTTTGCGTCAAAGCCGGATGCTGTCTGACACAGAGCGTTATCGCGCACGTAATTTCTTAGTAATCCATTCTATTGATAGTATGAGTTGTTCGGTGTTCCCAACGATAATCCAAATTTATTAATCGACATACAAACAATAATGACAGTGTTTGAGATTGCATTAAATTACTTTTAATTTAATTTCTTCTTTGTCACATGGGCTTCGCATTATTATTCCATCGCGATCAAAGTCGAAAAACAATTTTATCAGGAACTTTTTGTATAATTTGTAATCGTGTTAGTTATTTTGTTATAATTAAAAATAAAAATTGTACTCGCGAGATTTATTTTCCGCGAACCAAAAGATCCTCGCACACACTTTTCTAATTTTGGCTCGCTCTCGAACAGACAGACTGACTCGTTTCGCTGACGCGTAGATTAATTTATAATAAGGCCAGCTTCGCAAATTTCCTCGATAATTGATAATATTTCATTGTCGTGGGCATTGTTGCCGGCTTGACGCGAAGCTTCCATCAATCGCAAGCGATCTACCAACTCGTTGGGATCTTTCCAATGCACGTAATCGATCTTATTATCGTTTAACGTCATAGCGCGCGGTATGTTTATACCTCTTCCAGCTTCTTTTCCAGATGCTATTATATTTTTATTAGAGATTAATGGCGCTATTATATTTTTACAGTTGTATCCCTTGTTACTTAATACTGGATTACGCATATTGTTGCCACGTTTATGCGCATTTGTCGCATGTAATATATCTTTGTATTTAATTTTATCATCAGTATATACATCACCGTCGGACATTCTCTTGAAAATCAACTCGTAGAGACCTGATGTTCCCATGTATCTTATTCCACCGATAATTATATTGTCATCTTTATCCAAATCAAAGATTTTATTACCAATCATCATTCCTTCGTTGCAAAATTTATCACCGTAAACATAATCCATATTGTTATCTTTATCTTGACTCAAAATAGCTCCCACATATTTTTGCCCTAGTGGGCCCAAGTGTGTGTGCAATGTACTTTGACTCTCGGACGTTTGTAATAAATGTTGAACCGACGTCACAAGCGTTTCAGGCATGGTTTCGAACATTTCATCCACAGATGGAGACGGTTTTTCGTGCAATATTTGACTTGGTTGTACGTTATTTATCGGAGTAACCGCATTCGATAATTTTCCATTCGCTTACGTTTTGATTGATTTGGAGTAGAAGTTATTAGCGAATCGTTTAATGATATATTTGGCCGTGTTTGCTTTGTTCCATACTTTGACTCTTTTCTCAGATGCTTGTTTTCGAGCATACTCGATGGTTCAATTTGCTTCACTCGCTTACGTTTTGATTGATTTGGAGTAGAAGTTATTAGCGAATCGTTTAATGATATATTTAACCGTGTTCGCTTTGGAGTAGAAGTTATTAGCGAATCGTTTAATGACATATTTGGCCGTGTTTGCTTTGTTCCATACTTTGACTCTTTTTTCAGATGCTTGTCTTCAAGCATACTCGATGGTTCGATTTTCGCTTCATTAGATTCCACATTGATTGTATTTTCGACAAATTGTTTTAGAGGTTCGATAATTGGGTTAAAGTACCTCTCCAATGCGACGTCTTCCTCCATTTGACCTGTTTTTAAAGAACGATATTTTTTGCGGATTGATTCGCTCGTTTTTGCAATCTCTCTTGCAATCTTCTCACGATCGTCACTGTCAGTCATCGTCGTCATGTTGCGCCCGGACAAAAATGTTTAGACGTTGCTCGATCGATGAATCAATAGCGACTAATCACTTTACGGTATTGCAAAATCGTTAAATGCTTTTCGATATCGTCCATTAGTCTGTAAACTGTCTTTATCAATCACTACAAATCCATACTTGTGTTGCCAACATTTCCGACAGAAATCGAAAATCGTCGTAAGAAATGTCAGTATTTACATGATCGTTTATACATGTTTCAATACAAATGTGTATATGTACACATTCTCGAAACGTACACCGTGTGGACTTTCTATCAAACTTATCAACACGTTAGTCTTACCGCAATTCGAAGGACTGCAAATGATACCGCGTATAGTAGTCGGCAGCATGTTTCCATGTTTCCGTATTTCTTTCTCGGGCATTACCCGTGTTTTATCGTTAAAATTTGTCACTTTGATTATCGTCGCTTGTCGCACGAACCGCATGTTTGCTCTCGCGAATCTCAAATCAGATTTTTGGAGAATGGGTCATCGGGGCCCTATTTATAGAGGTGCACCGAATCGAAACTGCTCGGTCTCAAAATGTTTCTTCTTCTATCGGTTAACAGCGATATTCTCGAGCTTACCACTAAGTAGTTAGAGATTATCTCCAAGATTGTTTTACTGCGAGACTTTGGGAGCTACATGGAACAATTGTGAGACAAGCTTTCCAAACATATAAAAGCTGACTCAGAGGTTCAACAATATCGCTGATGCATGCGACATTATAATTTGCCGTGGCAGCAAACACATATCGACGGTCCAACACCGTTAATAAAAGATTGTGGCAAATGCCAGCAAAAATTATAAGAGGTAGCGGTTTGTTAAATCGTGCGATAAACGCACATCCTATCGAATCACATATTCCAGGCTATCAGTTTTGCGAACCGGGAACTCATTTAGAAACGCGATTGGCTAGAAGCGATCGAGGTATCAATCCATTGGATGCCGCGTGTCGCGAGCACGACATAGCTTATCCCCGAAGCAACGATCTCGGTCAACGACACGTTGCGGATAATATACTCGCCAAGAAAGCGCGAACACGTATTACCGCGAGAGATTCGACTCTTAGCGAAAAAGCAGCTGCTACAGCTTGTTCGAGAGCGAGGCGAAATAGGAAAAGTGTGTGCGAGGATCTTTTGGTTCGCGGAAAATAAATCTCGCGAGTACAGTTCACGTTTTTAATTACAACAAAATAATTAACACGATCACAAATTCTACAAAAGTTCCAAATAAAAGCTCGGTCGGTTATAGGCGATTTCACAAAAAAGAATAGCGGTTGTCGTAAGCGGTTTCACAAAAGGAATAGCGGTTGTCGTAAGCGGTTAACAAAATAAAAATTCGCGTGCCAAGGAACAGGTTCGCGACTTGCCCATAAAGTTTCATTGATTAACGCGTTCGATCTGGAATGCGTGATCGAGTGAAGCGGGATGGCGAGCGGGAGTGCGGGGAGACGCGCTCATTCAGAATGTGTTGTGTATCGTGTCGCGTAAGGTTACGCACGATGCGGTGTTATTGAGTTTATGTGGTGAATGAATAATTTACAGTGAGAAAATAATGCAAGTGAACAGTTGAAATTAAAATGTGTTGGCAGAAGGCCATGCATTCGTGCTTGCGGTTGTAAATTTGACTATTTTTTAAAGTGCAGTGATTGCGTGGCAGCGAAGATGAAAAGAGAGAAATAAAGTAAGGATAAAGTGAATTTTGACGAAATGTAAGAGTGAACGCGGCGCGGCCCGTTGGATTAAATTTTATTTTACATTTATTTTTTATTTCTTATAACTAGTTACAAGAGTGCGGTTTTCTGTGGTCGGTGATGTCTCGGTGATGCTGAGCAGCAACACGAACTTGGTGAGTGGTCGGATGAGCTCTGTGGTGGGTGTCCGGATGGTCACCACGCGCACGATGTCGTCGTCTCCGGGGTGCAGCTTGATGATGCGGGCGAGGGGCCATCGGCTTGGCGGGGTTGTCTCGGAGCGGAGTAAGCACAGCGTGCCAATGTTGGGAGCCGCCTCGGGTTCCAGCCACTTTGGTCGAGAGGTAAGTCCGTGCAGGTATTCTCGGGACCATCTTTGCCAGAAATGGTCCCTCAATTTTTGCACCAGTTGCCATCGCGATATGTGCGTGTCCCTTTGTTCGGTCAGCGATGGCTCCAGTGCGGCGAGAAGCGGGGCTTCGATGAGGAAGTGTCTGGGTGTCAGTGCGGTGAAGTCGTCGGTGTCGTCGGATAAAGCATGGTGTGGCCTTGAATTTAGGCAGGCCTCCACTTGTGTGAGGAAGGTGCTGAACTCCTCAAATGTTAAGGTAGCTTCCCCGATGACTCGCCTTAGGTGGTGTTTAGTGGATTTGACAGCCGCCTCCCAGAGCCCCCCCGAAGTGCGGCGCGGCGGGTGGGTTAAAATGCCATCGCACTCCCTGTAAGCTTGTGATGTGCGCGATGCGACGGCCGTCGGACGATGATGCCTGGAAGAGTTTTCTCAATTCGCGGTCTGCTCCAATGAAGTTGGTGCCGCAATCAGAGTATAAGTCCGTGCACAAGCCGCGCCGTGAAGTGAATCGGCGGAAGGCGGCTAAGAAGGCCTCGGTTGTATAGTCCGAGGCCAACTCTAAGTGCACGGCTCGCGTACAAAGGCACACGAAAACGGAGATGAAACCTTTGTACGCTCGATGTCCTCGCCCTTTAGACGTCCGAATTTGGAACGGGCCGGCGTAGTCCACGCCGGTGCGGAGGAACGGGCGTCCAGGAGTAACTCTGCCGCGAGGAAGATTGCCCATCTGTGGTTGCGGTGCGGTGGCTCGCCATCGGGTGCACGTCACACATCGATGGAGTAATTGTTTGACGACGGCCCGTCCTCGCGGAATCCAGAAGCGTTGACGGAGCAAACCCAGCGTGAGCTGTACTCCGCCGTGTAGTGTTCTTTGGTGGCATGAGTCTATCAGAAGTCGAGTTAGCCATGACGTTGATGGGGTGATCATCGGGTGTCGTTCGTCGTTTGACAGAATGGCGTGCTTGAGTCGCCGTCCGACTCTCAGCACGCCGTTGTGATCTCGGAATGGGCTCACCTTTGATAGAGGGCTGCGGTGGGCGACGATGCTGTTGGCGTTTATAGCGGTGATTTCGTTGGCGTAGTGTATTGTCTGCACCACGCGGAGCCATCGATGCCGTGCTTCATCGAGCTCGGCCGGTTTGAGAACCGGCTTTGGTGTAGCGTCGCCTGGAATTTGTTCGTGAGCGGATGAGCGTCGCCATCGAAGGCAACATGCTGTCACCCTGAGGAGCCGTTGCAGAGAGGAAAATCTGAGCAACTCCTCGGGCTCAAATTCTTCGTTGGCGGCGGCGTGGTGCGTGGACGCTTTCTTCTCGGGCGGTTCGCCCTTGGGAGCCTCCAGGTTCTTTTCCGGCCAGCAGCGTTCGTCCTTGAGAAGCCAGTTGGGGCCCGTCCACAACAGCTGATGATGTGCCAGCTCGCTGGGAGCTATTCCTCTTGATGAGCAGTCAGCCGGGTTTTCTCGTCCAGGTACGTGCCTCCGGGAGCAGCGTCTGGATCTGGGCGACTCGGTTGGCCATGTACGTCTTCCACCTCGAGGCGTGTCCTTGAATCCAGTAGAGGGTGACCATGGAGTCTGACCATAGAAATATTGGCGCTGCAGAAAGACTCAACACAATGCGGAGATGGTGAGTAAGCGTCACTAATAAAGATGCAGCGCAAAGTTCAAGGCGCGGTAACGAAATTTGTTTAATCGGAGCAACTTTGCTCTTTGCAGCTAGGAGGTGGATTGTCGCGGTGCCGTCGGTCACGGTGCGAAGATTCACGGCGGCGGCGTAGCCTCTTTCAGAGGCATCCGCGAAACCGTGTATTTGGAGGGTTGAGGATTCCTCTCCGGTGCAAAGCCAGCGGTGAACCCGTATTTGTTCGAGTTGCGGAAGCTCCTCGAGGAGGAGGTGCCACTGTTGGGCATCGGATGATGGAAGCGGAGCATCCCAATCCAGTCTTTGGAGCCAGGCGGATTGGATTAGGATCTTAGCGCGGAAATTACTGGAGCCCAGCGGATCGAAGAGACGCGCTGTCTCTGCGAGGACTCGCCTCTTCGTGTATTCGGTCGTCGTGCGGGGTTGGATCGCGAACGCGAAATGGTCGTTGCGCTCATGCCATCGGAGACCCAGGGTGGGATGGAGCTCATCCTCCCAGGTGTGCTGAGCCTTGAGGAGACGCTCCTGCGGGACTCCGGTGAAGATCTCCTCGCAGTTGGAGGCCCATTTTCGCAACGGAAACCCGCCCGCCATGCAAAGTCCGCGGAGTTCGTGCTGCAGCGTTGCTGCCTCTGACTTCGTGTTGGCGCCCGATACGATGTCGTCGACGTAACTTTTCTCGTCGAAGAGCGGCGGCACCGAGAGGAAAGCGAGACTCTTCGTCGTCGGCGAGCTGGCGCTGAGTTCGAATCGCGAGGAACGGCGCGCACGCGAGACCGTATGTTACTGTATTCAAGCGGTATTCCTGAACCTCACGCGTGTTGTCGCGACGCTATAGCACACGCTGGAAGTTACGTTCGTCGGGGTGCACGAGAATTTGGCGGTACATCTTCTCGATGCCCGCCACGATGGCATAGCGATGCCACCGCCAGCGGAGGAGGACGTCGACAAGCGCGGGAAGGAGGTTAGCTTCCACTAGGAGCTGCGAGTTCAGCGATTCTCCTGACCGGATGCTCTGCGACCCATTGAAAATCACGCGAAGTTTGGTGGTGATGCTTGATTCGCGTAGCACTCCGTGATGTGGTAGGTAACAGATCCTGTTGTCCGTGTCAGTTGCGGTTCACCCTTCATTAATTTCGCTCATGTGTTTCAGTTGCTCATACTCCAGCATGAACGAGCAGTAGAGGTCGCCGAATCGAGAGTCCCGGCTGCTTTTCCGCTCCATTGCGGTCAGCAGTCTCTCGGTTGGCTTGCGAGTTTTTTCGAGGTTCCTTGGGTTAATGGCGAACGGCAGCCGAACGACGTACCGTCCATCATTCGTGCGTGTGTGCGTTTGCGTGAAGAAATTCTCGCACCTTTCTTGTTCTCGAAGTGCTTCTTCAAGATTGCCCAAGCGCGCTCGTAGTTCTCCCCGGTAACCGCTAACGGACGTATCATGTTTTCTGCAGGTCCTTGTAGGCACGAACGCAAATAATGGAACCGTTCAATGGGAGAAACAGCGGAATTTGTACCGATCACGGACAGGAATAAATCGCGGAAGGACGGCCAGTCTTCATACGCGCCTGAGAACGGAGGTAACTTGATCTTTGGCAACGCGGTTTTTAACGAGCAATCGCTATTTTGCTGCTCGTTAGACTCCGCCGACGGAGGAGGAGCAGCGCGGTGCTGCTCAGCATATTCGGCGAGCTTGCCGCGTTGTTGAACGTAAGTATTTTCTACGGCATCAACAAAAGCAGTCGCGTACTCACTCTCCTTATAGCTGGTGCGGATTGGCTCATGCTGTGTCTCGAATTTGGCCCACAGTTGATCCAGGATTTTGATCCGGGCCTCGATGCTGCCGAGGTTGATGCCAGCTGCGCCTAGTTTCCGTAGATTTTAAAGCTGCTATAAAAAGCTGTTTTGGCAGCTATGAAAGCAAAGACAAAATTCGGTATGGGGATGAAAACAAAAAAGTCATCGATAAAGAAAACGACTGTGAAAAAACAAATACTTCCTATAGCGAAGCGCGGTGGTGTCTTACCAATTTTACCATTATTGGGAGTTCTCGGCTCGTTGGCTGGCGGAGCAGCGGGAATCGCGAAGGCGGTGAACGATAGCAAGGCGCAACGTCAGCTCAAACAAATGCAACGTCATAATCGTGCCACGGAAGGTCACGGACTTTATCTCGCTTCATACAAGCGTGGACGAGGGTTCTCAACAGCGGCTAAGAAAAAAAACGTCAAAATAACGATAAAAATGCCTGGTGGTGTAACAACCAATGTACTATTGGAACAACTTGCAAGACGTATGCGTATACCATTTTTTAGAAGCGTTTTCATGCGCAATAATTTACCGATAAACGGTGTACGGCGAAATGAGAGCGGTATCGTCAATTTGGATGACGTCAATGGTTTCGGTACTCATTGGGTTGCGTATGCAAAGAGGGGAGATCGTGTACTATATTTCGATAGTTTTGGAAATCTTCGAATTCACCGTCGCGACTCAATATTCGTTCGACAATTTTCCAGCATGTCACTCACACTTACGTTGACTGGCAAGAGTAGCGTTCTTGCTGTAAGCTACTTTCCGGCTATAGATTTAAATGATGACGATTACGAGTTTGGTTAAACGGACTTTGTAACTTATCATACGATGTCAAACGTGAATCCTTGGAATAATAAATTTTATTTTGGTAACGACGATAAGGAAATTACGATTCCCGAGTGATCGTACGAATTAAACGCCATAAACGAATATCTCCGAAGTGCAATTTTACGACATCGACGCGTAGTTGATTCCAACGATATTGTTGATGACGCAGATAATATCGAAGAACATCGTGATCTTCGATATTATCTTCATCGTGAATATCCAATAATGCTTCGCGTTAATCATAAAACGCTAAATAGTGAAATCAAATGTGTCTATAGAATAAATTTTAATAAACCAGACAATGTTGGATCGTTGTTGGGATTCTCATCGAATCGTATATTACAGCCTCGGAAATGGCACGAATCGGATGTACCGATAAATATTATTAGCGTAAACATTATTCGTATAGAATGCAGCGTAACCACTGGCGCGTACAGCAATGACAAGCGAGTATGAACGATACATGAATTTTCACCGAGCGTGCCGCCAGGATAAAAGATATCGGAAGCGCCAGCACAGGTCATTTATTTACCGATCGTCGCACGGAGAACTGATTTAACAATACGCATTGTTGATCAAGAAGGACATTGCTCGATTTTCGAGGAGAGGAAATTGCCGTAAAGTTGCATATACGGCGGCGGCAAAAAAAAAGCGTTTGACAAATGAAATGCTTGTGTTGAACGAAAGCACGGAGCACGCGAGAGACAATATCTTTACGAGGGACAATATTTTTGCGAGAAGGCGAGTGACTGCGGTATCGGGTGACAATAATCAGATATCTGGTTACGCTAAAAAGAAGCTCAGCGCGTTGAATCACGAGTTTTTAAAATCATTGGGATTCGTCGTACGAAATACTTGAACAATATGATTGACATCTTGAATATCGGAGGCGAGCCGATCTTTGACGATCGTATCGTCAAGATTGAGACTCATACGTACAATCCATACTCCAACACAACGCTTGGATATAGCGACGAGATACGGATACCGATACAATATCAAGATTTGTACACGTTACCATGTGAAAGTTTTCTATACGTCGAGGGAAAGTTGAGGGTGCGTACAGTAGATGAAGGGGCAAGAATGGTATTGGAAAATACTTGTGTCGCGTCTATGTTTGATGAATTTCGATATGAACTCGACGGTACGGAGATTGACCGCAACAGAAACGTTGGAATAACTTCCACGATTAAAAACTACGTATCTCTAACAGCCGAGAAAGGTAAAATCTTGGAGAATGTCGCGTGGAATATGTTGCATAATGCTGTTGAAGCTTACTTCAATTTTTGCGTGCCGCTAAACATACTATTGGGTTTTTGCGAAGATTATAAGCGCGTTGTGATTAACGCTCGTCACGAATTAATTCTGATACGTTCACGCAACGACAACAATTGCATATTTGGAAACGCTTCGACTGAAGCTGATATCGAATTATTCAAGATACAATGGCGTATGCCACATGTAATATTGAGCGAGGTCAATAAACTATCCTTGCTGCGCGCGTTGGAAAGCGGGCAATACTTGAATAAGAGTTTTCGCTCTTGGGATCTATACGAATTTCCTCTATTGCATAATACGACCAAGCATTCGTGAAAGCCGCCTCTCAGCTGGAGAAGCCGCGATACGTTATCTTTGCGCTGCAGCCCGGCAGAAAAAATGCTGTGTCAAAAGATATTACTACATTCGACGACTGCAAATTGATCAACGTTAAACTCTATCTAAACTCGGAATTTTTTCTTTACGATGATTTGAATTTAGATTTTGATAAAAATAGATTCGCCCTCTTGTTCGATATGCACTCTCGTTTTCGCAAATCTTATTAGCAAGGATTCATTATCGAGCGAAACTTTATCGTGAAGGAAGTAGCGATATTGAGAAATGATGCAAGAAACGACGTCATTATTGAGACCTTGGATGCGAACTGTGAAGATATCGCTTCGTTAAATAAGCTCGATGTTACTAATACTATGCGTTGTGAAAAGCATTTATAAAATTGCGCTTTACAAAATGTATTCAAAATATTCAATTGGTGGACGAATCATCATAAAGATTTACCCAGACATTATTTAGAATAAACTATTGTTAAAATATATTTTTCTTCTCTCTTATTCTTCCCCTTTTCTTTTTCTTATCCCGGTATACGAGTATTAAATTTCACTACGTGACGTTAGATAGCAGCGTCAGCCATTTAATTAAAATATAGATGTTACATGTCTACAGACATACAATTTTTAAAATATTTATTTTATTGGAATATAAGTAATAAATTTGTCGTTTGATAGCGGGTCAATGTAGTTGATAGTGGTTCAAAGCTGTTCGATAACTGTTCAATAGCTGTTCGATAGCTGTTCAAAGTGGATCATCTGTTCGATAGCTGTTCAAAGCTGTTCAAAGCTGTTCAAAAACTGTTCGATAGCTGTTTGATAATAGTTTAATAGTGGTTTACATATTATAACAATCCGTTATTCATATTTGACATACTTTAACTGTAGATAATTGTCCGTGGAAACATGTTTACTTTTGTTTTCTTACAAGTGCAGAAGATAAGTTTTCTTTGTAAGTGATACTTCTGAGTGAGTCTCAATTGCGCACATTACCGATCGGACACGACAATATTTCCCAATCGGACACAGACCCAATCGGACACAGGCTCGATCGGACACAGTCCCGATCGGACACAGGCTCGATCAGACACAGACCCGATTGGACACAGTTCCGACCGGACACATACTGTTGCAATCAGACACAGTACCAATCGGACACAGGCTCGATCGGACACAGTCCCGATCGGACACAGGCTCGATCAGACACAGACCCGATTGGACACAGTTCCGACCGGACACATACTGTTGCAATCAGACACAGTACCAATCGGACACAGGCTCGATCGGACACAGTCCCGATCGGACACAGGCTCGATCAGACACAGACCCGATTGGACACAGTTCCGATCGGACACATAC